GAAACGGCAAAAAGCTACACATGCCAGGGAATTTTTCTTTTATTTGTCTATTTAAAAAAGAAAGAAGCCTTAGCAGGGACACCAGGGCTTTATCACACACCAGTGGGTCCCCGTAGGCCGCAATTGCTCGCTCGTCCGAGGGCAGGACAAGCACTAAAACAAGCTCAGGTGGCAGGAGACAAAAGTCCAAGCTGCGAGTGGTGTGAGTGCCGAGACGGCGGTAGAGCAGAGTGACATCACCCACAGTGGAGGTTCTGAACACCAGGTTAAGCTAAATAATTTGGTCCCAGCTCTGAGCAGACAGGCAGAAACGTCGGAGTGAAAACTACCCAACGTGGACCCTTAGTCTAGGAGGGGAGGGAGCGCAGTGGAGGAGAGGAGACAGTGACAATTAAATCCTGTTCCAACCTGGCTCCTGGCAAGCAGAAATTACTCTTTGCCAAAGACATAGCACTAAGGGTCTTGACTCAGTTGAAGGTGAGGATATGGGCTGTGTTATCAAACCCGTCGGGCAGTTCGCCCCCCCGCACCCTGCTGTACCTATCTGGATGTAGCCATCCGGCGTCCTGCGGTATTTGACTGCGCCTCGTCCCTCTTCCAAGGCTTCCTTGTCCGACTGCAGGCTCTGTGGGAAGGAGAGGAGCTTTGGGCAAGGCCAGTGGCAAGAGACACCCAAAAGCCCCAGGCAAGAGCAGCAAGCCTGCTGCTGCCCTCGCCAGCAGCCCATGGCACCTTGTCTCCCCTGCCTGGCACCCCGAGCCCCACGCCCCAAAACAAGACGACATTCACTGCCCTCATGCTGCTACTTCCACTGCACCATCCTGGCTCCGTCCCCTCCTCTGGAATTGTCCCCTCCATCTCAGCATCCCCTCTGCAGGCAGGGATGGCTCCCACAGTGACTGCTCAGCACAGCATTCCCACTCTCCACGTGGCACCACACCAGGCGTGACCCCCTGGCTCCCAGCCAGCACCTCTCAAAGGCACTTGAGCCTTGCACAGATTTTCCTGACACCTTTAAACAGTTCCCTTCTCAAACCTCTTTTGCTTCCCACTCCACCCCCAGCTCAATTCCCAGTAAAACACTTACGTCAAATGGCAAAACCTCCACAGTCGTATTGAAGAGTTTGTCTTCTGGGTGCTCGATGTTCCCGCTGCGGAAGAAGAACCTGTGACAGACACCAAAGCCATGGAAAACCACACTGAGTGACAGGGGACACGATGGCTTTCACCCCAGCTGAACCATCCAACAGCCCAACCTAATAGTCACCTTCCCAAAAAGCCGACAGGCACGTGGTTTGGAAAGAGACCTCCTGCGGCAGATAAGCTAACGCGTGGATTGCTCACAAGCTCAGGAAAGCAAAGGGCTCTGGCAAACCCACCAAAAAAAAGGGTCAAGTTATCCTCCCCATGGAAGGACACTGCTCCCTCCTCTGGGCATCCAAGCAGATGGGCAAGAAATTGAACCTGAGCCAGATGAGCAAACGGAAAGTGTCTCTGCGTGCTCCAGGCTGCCCCCACGCCCGAACCCCCAGGCACTGGCCTTTCAACGCGGAGCGGTTTGAAGAATCGGAATCTGATGAAGTCTCCGGCGGTGGGAGTGAAGGCCCAGAAGAAGTCCTCCCGCAGGTACGCCTTCTCCAGGGTGAAGTGCTGGTAGGTCTTCAGGCTGGTGCTCACCTCCGCGGGCGGGTTGACGTGCTCCTTCCGCAGGGCCTGCTTGCCAAAGTCCTTGTCCTTGATGGGCGCAAAGCAAAAGGGCGGAAAAGGATCGTGAGCTGCTCTCGCCTGCGAGGGACAGGGGTCCCAGCAAGCTCTCGTTTGCCTATCAGCAATCCCAGGAATAGGGGTGGGAGGGAGGTCAGCTCAACCCAGGAATCATTTCTCCAGGGTTTTTCAGTAGATGCTTCGGAATCGCTTGCTCAGACCGTGGCTCGGCACTCAGGATGGGTGGCCAGGACTAAAGCTTGCAGCGACCACTGGTACGCGTCACTGCCAGGCTGAGCAGTAGAATCTACAAGAACTCACTGTCATTCAGAACAAACACAACCACTGCACAGAAATCCAGCTGCCACCGTCCCACCGGCTGCAGTCACTGATGTCCCCACCCCAAAAGCAGCCCATTCCCAGGTGCCTGCAGGCCAGGCCTGGCCAAAAGGCCATCTGTGGCTTGGACAGGCAGCTGGTACCCACCTTCAGCTTCTGTATCTTCCCAGCCAAGGAGGAGTGGGTGCCCACGTGCTGGAAGAGCGAGGGCTTGAAGCGGATCCTCAGGTTTGCCTTCTGCCTGTCGCAGTGTTTCTGCAACGAGACAACCCCGCAGTGCCCCATGCTTAAACCTCCACGGTCAGCGGAGCCCCACGAGAGGGAGGGCAGGGGCACGGGGAGTGAAAAACACCCCTGCCCCTCCTTCTCTGTGCCCTTCTGTGTTATTTTGGCTTTACTTTGGCAAGAAGAACGCAACTGTGACTCCTGGCCGGCCACCCCCAAGGCTGTGCGGGGCAGCCAGGGTGCCCAGGTTTGCGTCAGACGTCCCCGTGCCAAGCACAGCAAGAAGAGAACTCACATCTTAAAACCAGTCCTTTTCTCTGAGCTTGGGGGAACAGGACAAAAACACAGGGTTAAAAACTGGAGGGAGAGGGCGTTTGTTTTCCAAATTTTGCTTTTTCCAAGAAAAGAAACACACGCACACCCCTACCACCCCCTGCTCTCACAACCCAAGAGCAACCGAGCCCCTGCGATGGGCTGCCCGCACGGGCCACCGTCACCCAGCTGGGAGCTGGGGAATTCCAGGCGTGACCCCTGCGAGCTGCAGAGGAGATAATCCCCTAATCCAGCCCACGTTACATTAGAAAATTAAAACTAGCCGTGCTAATGGGAGAGACCCTTCTCATTACCAGCAACCCCAGCCGCAATCCCATCAGCTCTGACCTCTGGATGGGGAGCGGAGGAGGAAGGGGAGCAGAGGGAGCTGCAGCAGCTCCCCATTTCTCTTTCTCCCCTTTTTCCCTTCTGCTAAAGAAGCATTTGCTGAAAGCAACGTCGTCTCAGTCAAGCCAGGAGGGGCAATGGCTCAGTTGGTGGTAACAAGGTCATCCTTTCACACAGCCCTACCCCAGGAAAATCTAAAATTAGTTAAAAAAGAAAAAAGCAGGATATATCCAGAGCAGGCAAAGCACTTCCCAAAAGCTCAGGTCAAACAAACTTTCAATCAAAAAGACAAATCCTCCCCGCTCCCAATTTGATTCTGCACAGTGGGATTTCCAAGGGAAAGGCCTGTTTGAAAAGGCGCTGGGCAGAGTTAATCATGCAAACAGTGGGGGAAAGGAGCCAGAAATCCACACGGAAAGTAGGTTAATTTTTAAAAAGGTAACACATTGAAGAGGTTTGCAGTTTCCCCTGGGAAAACCTTGGCTCTGACAGGTAGGAGAAGATGAACTAAGGAGAGGAAGATCCCGGGCAGGGGACTCTGCATTTCATCAATGCTCAAGCCGATCTGAATTGGCACAGCCCCCAGCATCGTTCCCAGCTCCATCCCAGCACCCCAGCCTCGCCCTGGGCTGCCGACAGCCTTGGGGACTGCTCTGTCGCACCTGAGCCCATGGGCTGAAGGGCCAGGAGGACACGATGGACATCACCTGAGACTGGTCCTGCGGTACACGGGCTGGAGCCGACAGCACGGCCTCTGCCAGGGATCAGGCCAAATTAAACCACATCCTTGCCCTGATTCTGCAGGGCCCTGAGGCTGACCTGTTCCTCCAACACATAAATATAGTATTTCTCCCCAGAGTGACCACTTGCTGTAGCATTTGTCGCCACAAACCAGTTGCAGCCATGAGGTCCATCCTAAGCAACTGGCTTGGAGCGCAGCACGGGGACTCCGCTGCCCCTTCTCTGCCGGGGGAGGAGGGCGAAGGAGCCGATGAGTAAATACAGTATGTGCGGAGAGGAGACAGGAGGGTATCTGGTGGTGAGCTCATCTTACATTTACTGTCACACTCGCTCCTCCTCTGCCCTTCCCACTCGCTTTACCCCCTCGCTGCTGCCGCTGATGGGAGTTCAAACACAACCTCTGCAGGGCACGGGGCTGCTGGGCTGCTGTCGGCAAGGCTTCATGCAGACACAGCCGTGCAAACGAGACGGCAGCGTGAATATAGATCCCGTTTCACCTCTCCAACACCTCCTAGAAGCCTCGACAAGAGCTTGGCGTGCTCTGGCTTCATTCTGGCACACTATTCACGGCGGGTTTGTTTGGGGGTCAGCTGGGGTGAGCTCTCTGGGCAGCCTGCTCCAGGCGGGTACGGCACACGAGCCCAGAGCCAAAGGGTTATTCTGGGGTTATAGTCAGCGAGCAGGGAACAGTTTCAGGGAGAGAAGCATGCTGTATTGAAAAACAACACAGAAGAATAGGGTACAGCTACTCTCCTCGAGGACTGCAGGAAGAATACCCTGCTAGTGCTTAGATGCAGAAATAATGCCTTTTCTGACAGCTACAAAAGCCTGAACTCCCAGGTCTTTGCTTACACAACCCACAAGGATGCCCCGCAGCATGCTCCACAGGGACGGAACAGCACGGTGCACAGTCAGTTAGCATCAGAGCTCACAGAAAAGATCCTCTGGAGACACAGACCGAGCATACGTTTGCCCACGCACAAGAGAAGGTTCCCCTTCAACTGAGGTTGTCTACGTACTGCGTCTTTCTCGGGGTTGCAGACTTTCACCCAAAGGATGTGGTCCAGCAGCCAGTCAATGGGTTTGTCCTTATAGAACATCAGGATGAACTCCACGATCAAGCTTAGATCAAGAGACTTGAACATTTTTCCTACAGCACAAAGAAAGAGACAGATCAGCTATGGTATGAAATGGTCACAAATCAGAGCTGGGAAGAAAAAATTTGGGAGACAGGGCTGCAGAGGTTGGATGTGTCCATCTCTCCATGTAAAGGAAATAGCATGTAGCTCTGGTTTATGTACCAGTAGAGCTGGCACTGCCCATACAGTTCCGGATTTAATAGGCACCACAGAATTAAAAAGCATTAGGGTCTCACAGGTCACAACAGCATCAAAAGGTCTAAAACTCTTCCATTCAGCAGGGAAAAATAAGGATGAAAAACATTCAGCCAGCTGCAGGACAGACCATTTCCTGCCCCAAAAACTACAAGTTTTAAGCCAGTCAAACCAGTATCCAAAATAACAGATCAAGCTGCTACTGCAACCACGTCCTGCCGTTCCCAAAATAGTTCTGTGCTGATGTAAACTTCCTTTTGCATACTGTTAGGCAACTCCAGATCCCATCCAACCTAAAAGCTACTGGTCACATCCAAGCTGTCTGGCTGTCTGCTGGGCCACTGACCAGGTTTATTTTTATTAAAAGTGAGTATCAGCAGTACCAGCTGTGAGGATCTTTCTCCCCTGTGCAAACACAAGGGTCACTGCAAAAATAGGGAGGGATCAAGTACAAGTATTTTACCACCTCGTGGGGACAAGTCGTTGGACCAAGAGCATTAAATGCTTGCAAGAACCAGCAGGCACTGGTGCCCGTGTCTGCCGGTGAGCGGGGGAGAACGTTACCGATAAACCCCAGCTGAGAAAACTCCAGGATCATCCACTCCTCGGAGGGCTGCTGCAAGGCGAAGTTCTTCATCGTGCTGAGATAGTTTGGTTTGGCCACAATATCATCCTCCAGCTGCAAGAGGGAAGGGCATTCAGTGCCAATGACCCATCCAGGCTCCAGTAAGATCCCCTCTGTGCAGAGCAATCACAGTGTAGACCAGAGGAAAGCTTTGGCACAGACCTAGTTTATTTTGGAAGATGCTCCAAGCAGTTTTTTCCTCATCCAAGCTAACAGGTAAATGAAACAAGGATTCCTGCCCTCCCAGGGGAGAGGTCTTCAAGTCTACAGCATCTTAGAAACCCAGCTTTTGAACCTACCTGGTTAAAACCTGCTGCACTCGGCCACATCGCACACCCGGACCCACTTTTTGCCCTCTCTCAGCTGGACACGAGCCACATTGAACTGGCAGGTACACCCAACAACCCTCCAACCCCAGCACCAGACCCACCTGCACGTAATATATGCCTTTGGACTGGGCGTACATCATTAAAAAGCAATAGTCAAGGTTCTGCTTTGTCCTCCACCTGCAAGAGACAAACAGGTTGGGAGTGCTGGTCTCTCCCGGAATGCCGGGCTGCTCGAGGGAGCCGAGGTTTAAGCTGGGAAGGTCTTGGGGGACAGGATGGCATATGGCCTCTCCCTTTTGGTCTCAAACTGGTCAGCTAAGAGTTACTGAAAAACTCAAGGACTTCCAAAATGAACATCATCTGGGTGACAAGGACTCCCCTCGCTTGGTGATGGAAACACCACAGCACAAGGCAAGCCCTGAAAAGCTGGTGCCAGTTCATACACCCCTTCTCCCCATGTCCTTCCAGCTCTTGGATAAAGCAAGTTTAAGGGCTTTGCCTGGCCCTGCAGAAGAGATTTCCCTGCTGGAGTCAGGGGGAGAGATGCTGCAGTCATTTAATTCAAGGCTTGCTTGTTTTTAAGCTCATTGCTTCTTACCTGACTCTTTCCTTGGGGTCCCCAAAGGATTCTCGTAGGTGGGAGAAATCAGGATAGAAGTGCGGAGATGGGGAAATTACCTCCAGGAGACCTGAGTGTATTTCCTTGGGGAATCTGAGGGAGAAAAGCAGTGGTAAACAGATACCTCCATGTCTGACACACCATTTCATAAACCAAATCACTGGGTAAACACCGAGCTGCAGTACCAAACAAAAAAATAGAGCCTCTAAGAGAAAACTTCCCCAGCAGCTAGTGCACTTCCAGGCCTCACCAAAGGACAGCAGTAGGGACTGTTGATGAGTTTTAAAGCTGCTCTCTCCCTCCCACTTTCTCTAATAGCCCCACGTTTGTGTGCTCCCCCCTCAGCATCCCTCCTCCCTCTCACACGCACACGCTGACTGCTGATGACAAGCCAGGCTGATGGCACACAGCTGCTTTGCAGGTGACCCATCAGTGCTGCCCCAAATATCAGCAGGCGAAAATTATTCTCGCCACCGTAGGAGAAGCTAAACTATTTTTCCCAATCCCCCTAATTACTTGGTGTCTAGCCTCTGTTCTCTGCAGTCGTATAAAGCTGGTTTGTAGAGAAAGCAGGGGACCACTGGAAGGATGCTCACTACGGTTCGCAGAGGAGTGGCACTGCCTCGGAGGTGGCAGAGCCTCAGCACGTGCTTTAAACACGGGCACACAGACATCTTATGGTCTATGGGGACATCCAGGACAGCTGAGATAAAGGACCAGGGGACAAGAAAAGTGGAAACACTGAAGAAACAGCCGGATTCACTTCCGCCCAAACATCCCACAGCTTGTCCCAAAAGGTGCTGCTCGATATTTACCGCACTTCTAAAAAAACCCACAGGGCAGGTTTAAAGACCAGCCATCAGCACCATGTACTCTCTACAGCATTAAACCTGACCTGCAGACTGGCACACCAAGGAAAGGGCTTGCTGGCGTTACTGGCATTTAGAGATTTTCCAAATGCATCAGTAATTAAGAGCCATTTTGCAGAGATTATGTTATGCATTTCTGATAAGTTACTTAAAACACTGCTGTGCTGTAGTTAGGATTTTGCAGGAATTCTACCTAGTTCTCTGACGCTGATAAAATCAGCATCTATTTTCCCTATAATGCAGTTCAGAACCCTTTAAAGAGCCCAACTCAAAGAGGAAAAAAAGAAGTCACCCATCTGAAAAATATGTACCTACAACAGCCTTGCAAGCAATACCCTGAGATTGCTGTAACTGTGAGAGATAAGCGGGAAAACCAGTTATTTTTACACTGCCCTTGCTGAGAACATTTGGTGCAAGGCTGATTTCCTTTGTTTGTGCAGAGCCTGGAGCACGGGGATGGGGCAGAGGGATACAAAGCAGCGGGAATGCCAAAAACTTCTCACTTATTTTTCCCATCCTTATTCCCTCCTTGGGACTGGCAAGATCTTCAGCTAACATTTTCAGACCTTCCCTTCCACGGGCAGCAGCGAAACAGGAGCTTCTCGAGCTGATAAAACCCATCCCGAGGCAGCAACGGCTTTCTCCCTGGTGGATATGACCTCAGCCCGCCCTGGCCCCACACCACCCCAATTCAATTTGGATGAAAAATAATTTCAGTGAATGGAGGGGGGAGCAGGAGGCACTGGAGAGGGGGACGGCGAGAAATCAAATCATTAAGTCAATTAAAGTTTCAGGCCTTCTATGCAGAAGCACCCTCTGCAGCAGCGCCCAGTAATTTCATCAGGATCCCTCGGACAATCGGGCCATTATCCCCCGATAAGTGCGTCCTCCTGCCAGCAAAAGCAGAAGGAGGGCAGCTCTGCCAGCTCCCGCACAGCAAGATGGAAGGCCCTGTTTCAGCTCTTCTGCACGGGTCGGGAACACAACCCTCGCCATGCACATCCCAGCCCCAATCCCATCACTGGCTCGGGGACGCGGGGGCAGCCGGAGGACGAGCTGCCCTCTGCGTCTCCTTACGGCGGCTGCCATCCTTTGGAAAGACGCAGCGGGAGCTGGACGGGAGTCACAGCCTCTTCTCTCACCACCTTTTTCTTTAGCCTCTGATGCTGTTAACACCCGGACCGGCTCACGGTTAATAATCCATCACCAGCTTCTGCCTAAACAGCCACAGACAAAGCTGCAAGAGCCACTAAGACCCCGGGACATAAATAGCAGCTAGCATGAGAGACAAATGCAACTGTGCCTAGAACAAGGGAAAAACAAACAGGCAGGAGCGGGAGGAAAAATGGATCACGGATTTTAAAGCAAAATAAAGCAGGAGCGTTGGGTGTGCTCAGCACTGTGCCCAGTTGCTCTGCCTCGGCAGAGCAGGTAGAGGGCTGCACTCCACACGGAACGGCCAGGATCACTGGAAATCTAAATAATCCATCTCCCCCCACCACGCCACAGGGCTGAAAGAGCAAAATGAAATGGCACAACCACGTGTGTTAAGTACTGCAAGCACAAAGCAGCCTAATGGAAGCTACATATGGGATGCGTTTTAGAACGAGCGGAAAAGTGGAAGCGGCAGTAGCAAAGGCAGCCCAGAGTTTAAGAACTAAAAAAAACCCCAAGCAACAGCAACAGAAATACAAAAGGGAAGCAGAAAAGCGTGTATTTTCTCCTTAATGAAGCCGTTCCCTGGCCTCGCTACAGGCACAGACCGACCGCCGTACTCATGCGAAAGTGCTTACAAGGTTTTGATATTTTCTGCCACTCCGGCTGTGTACTGTGGATCTGTCTGAAAACAAAAGGTAAGCAAGTGTTAGATCCTTCACCCTCAGCCTGTGCCCCCCATGGCTCAGAAACCACCTTCAACACACCCCAGGGGTACTGTCAGCACCCCTGTACCGCCTTCATGTCACCTTTCCGCCAGTGTAACCGCCCTCCACAACCTGATGGTCTCCTAGGAGCCCTCCTTTGTGGCCAGTGTTAACTAAAGCCACCAAAAGGACCCCAAACGGACTCAAGATGCTGCACATCATCTCCACGTGCTCTCCTGGCACTCCTGACCCTGCCAGCACCAGCGCACGGTGTTAACTTAGGGGCTGCTTACTTTTTCCTCTATACACACTGGCTTTCATCCAAGCCAATATTCCTAGCAGAAAAAGATCTCTACCCCTTTTGTGAAAAAGAGGGGTCTATTTATAAGCATGGATGTTTCATTTCAGGTTCATTTTGATGCTTTTCTTCCTAAACCAACAGTTTGTTCCCACAGTCAGCCTGGCAACCTGTAACAGCGAGAGGCAAAGGTCAGCGGTGCTGCACGCCGGTATTTGCAGGCGAGGTAAGTGCAAACCCAGGGACAGGCTCCGGACAGAAACCATCTGCACAGTGACTGGGAAAGCAAAATCCAAGAGCAAAGGGCAGGAGACCCAGCAGTAAAACCTGGGCCTGTTTGTGAGGGTTTTCTCGACAGGAAAAAGGTCTCTCCCAAACAGGGCTCAGGCTCTCAGTGCTGGACTGATTTCCTACCCCAGCACTGCCAAAACAGAAACAGGAAAAACAAAGGCAGGAAAGATGCTCCTGGCTCTGGGAGCAAACAGTCAGCTCTGCTCCAAGCACCCAGCTGCCACTGACCCGGTGGGTTGGTGACAGCCGAGCCAGCCAGCTCGCCCAGGGCTCGCCTCCACCAGCCGAGGAGCCCCTGGCTCCCCCAGGCAGCCCGGCTGCCGTGGCTGACACCCGCAGTGGTTAGCGCTGGCACTCGGAAATGAGAAGTCCCCATCCCAAAAAGGACATTCAGTTGCTCCACTCATTCTCCTGAGTCTCCAAATTACCCAGCATCTGCTCCAGGTTCCTCTCCACTATTTCCTATTCATCCCCTGCCTGAAGAGCCCCAGCGAGCAATGCCAAGTGCAGGCACCCTGAGAAACATTTTGGGAAGAGGCAGAGCAGGCACAGCAGCGGTTCACGCCTGCACGGATGTTGTGTAGCTACAGGAGCAAGCTCGGCAAAAGAGGATGGCGATGGTGGTGATCTGCAACAACTACAATCGCTGTTACTGGGCTATGACACGTCTGCTCCTGCACTTCATGGTATCAGAATTAATTTATTTGTTGTTCACTTCCCTTGTCACAGCTACACACGGAAAAGTCCGATGCTGCCATCGCAGCATGTACCCTATTTTCAAGCCAGCTGAAAAAAAAAAAATACTACTGCCGTCCTAACCAGAAGATGGTTTTGGTCAAGTTGCTTAAAACCTCTCCTGCTTTAACTCACCCGCTGTGAAAACATCCACCAAACCTGTCCTGGCCCAAAGGGAAACAACAGCCAGGACCAAACCTCATCCCAGGCACTTCGGGCTGCACCCCTCTGTGCACACCTTCTCCTTGTATGAAATACCAGCCAGAGACCCGAAAGCCAAATGATACTCAAAATGTCAAATGATGGGTAAACAGGCAGCAAACCCAGACATTTATCTTTGTTCCGCTCCCAGTCACATGCCACTGAGGCTTATCTTTCTCACCGGATTTCTGGAAATTAAGACAAATGCACTTCAGGCTCAAGAAAATAATCCTGAGGGGAAAGCCATGGAGAAAAATAAGCATCTAAACCCATAGATAAAAGCAGCTCGTGTGGATTAATGTATCAAGGCTTTTTAGCCCTTGGATTCAGCAACTGATTCTGGGCTCCAGACACCAGTATGAAGAGGCATATTAGTCTCAGACCCAAATCAGCAGGCTCTTGGGTTTGAAGAGGGGATTAGTGCTGCCTGACAGGTACATGGAGAAACGAAGCTGCTTCAGGAGCAGGTCTGAGAGCTGCCCTAGACCTGGCCATGGGGCTGCTCCAGCACATTTTGGGCACAACCACTGCAGTACCCTGCAAGAGCCATCACAATTTAGGGCAGAAAGATAAATGCACATACTGCACTGGCAGCTGCTAACGTCTGCCTGCTCACATCCTCTCTGCCCAACCGGTGTTCCATGCTGGGCAGGACTCACCTCAGGATCCTGGTCGGACGGCGGCCGAAGGCTGGGCCGATCTGCCCCAGCAAGCAGCCCTCCAGGTGGGCAGCCGTCCCGTTTGGCACCAGGTTTGGCAGGCAGCGGGAAGGGGGACGGGGAAACGGGATAAACAGGGAAAGCTCTGTCTTACCTCAGCAATGAGGACGACGATGACAGAGTCCTCCTTCTCCTGCTGAGTGAGCTCTGAGATGAGGGAGTTGAGGGTGTCAGTGAGGTAGGAATGCACCTCCCGCTTCACGCTGGGGATTCCCATCACCATGGACACTGCCCAGGGCCAAGGAGAGATTTTAGAGAGGAGGGTGTGCTGGGACAAGATACTTTGCTCCGCTCCCACGACTGCCTTGTGGTTCACCTGTTTGGTGCCACGCTCCATCATTAAAAACCATAGTGATCAGCAGGTTGGTAGGTGCCTGGGCCAAGGCAGGTTCGCAAACTCCTGTCCCCCAGCCCAGTACCGACCAGCAGCACCCCAGTGTGCCAGGCTGGCAGGGCACCCACGGCACTCAGACAGACTCACTCTATTCTCCCTGAAAGACTGATGCCTAAGGAAACACTCAAAATCCCACACCCTCCTAGGGCCTTTGTCAGCCTGTGGACAGCAACTTCAGGACCACCCTAGATCTCCAAAGCCCTCCCATGTCCAGACACACCTCAGTTTAAGAGGGTGAGTCAGGTCTTTGGCTTTGGGTTGGGATTTGGGAGCAGGGGGAAATCGTCTAGTACCCAAAGTCCTACTCCAGATGGGATTTGTCTCCTAAGATCAGTTAAGAGTCTCCATGAAGCACCCTGCACACTGTGCTTTCATCTGACCACCTTCCAGGCAAAGTCTAGAGCACTCTGGAGATGGAAAGCAGCAAAACACATCTGGCAGAAGCATCAAGAACATTTTAGTGCCAGTCAGAGCACAGACAGCACTCCCTCACAGACTGACAGATGTGACATGGCTTACCCACCCCGCGTGTCACGATACCAAGGAAGCTTGCATGATGCATGCAGCCGTTCCTCCAGTCCTGCTCATATCTGTACCACAGTCAGGCCCGGAGGAAAGGGGAAGGACAGGCACCAAGGTGAGGAAGAGCACCAGAAGCTGCACTAATTCCCATTTACCTCCAGTGCGCCCCTGTCCCACATGCACGGCTGGCTGCAGACTGTTCTCCTTTGACAGCAAATGTGGCAAATGATGGAAGATGGTGGGAAGGTGCAGCACATTCTTGTTGGTGATATTCCACAGTTTTAACTTGGTTTCGTCTTAAAAAGGAAAAGGGAATCAATTGCAAAGAACGGCAGGTAGGAAGAGACTGCAAGGCGAAAAGCCTTTCCAAAGCAGCCTGGCCACCCGAGACTACTGCTGGGTTATAAAGAATCAGGCCAACCTTTAACATGCCAGCAGGAGCCATGAGGGCCTTAAAGAAGTCCCAAAATATTTGGGAATGAGGGGGGAGAATGAAGTTAAAATGAAGGTTAAATCGGATCTTTCTGCAGAGATCCAATTTTCTTCAACCGAGCAACTTAAAAAAAAAAAAAAGAATAAATAAATTGGTGAGGGGTGCTCAACCAACCTAACTCCTTCCTCATCCCCTCTTTAGATGCTCATTTTCCATATGGATTCAATACAGCCATAGAAAATGGCATGTATGACTTGCAAGAAACAAAAAAAAAAGCTTGTAAGCAAGCAAATCGGCAAATACCCACGGCAGAGGCAAATCTCGGTGTTTAATGATGCATATGCACCTCTAATTGAACAGGAGCTTAAGAGTTCCCAGGTCTCCCTGAACTCCACAATTTGCTCGCGCTGGGGAGAGAAGAGCGCGTCCTGTCCGCAGCCCGGCACGCAGGCACGCACACCCCTCTACCTCCTCCTTAGCAACAGCTTCAAAACAGCCCGAGATCCTCAACTTCTCTGATTATTCACCAGATAAGCTGCTCCAGGTCCGGTTTATATCCCGCAGGGCTTGCTTCTCCGAGATCGCTCTCTTGATCTCCTCCAGGACCAGGTTGAGCTCCTTCGAGCGCTTCAGGCTCTCCTGCTCGGCTGCGTGCAGTCGGTCCCGGAGGGCGAGAAACTCCCGCTGGTAGATGTCCACCACGTCACCTGAGGATGGGAAAGAGAGAGAAGGTTTCTTCTCCACGCTCTCGAGGGTTTCAAGTCGCAAAAGCAATGCCCATCACTTACACCTCCTCTACCTCCACAATCCCTAAAACAAGAATTTAGGGAGCTGTGGTCTAGCACGCACACAGTGGTTTTGTTGGCGAGAGGAACATTCAGTTGCAGAACTCCAATTAAAAAAGCTCTTTCTGTTTTTCTCTATAACTCGAGTTTCTGGGTCATACAGCAATACGACCTCGTTCTCGGTGACCAAAGCAGGCGGCAAAAAATAAGTTGCATGGTAGTTGTTCTTCACTATGTACTTGGGAAAGGGGAGTCAGCTGTTGGCATTAGTTTTATGAGCAATATTCTGCATCTCCAGAAGTCTGAGCACATGAGGCGGCAACTGCTGGAGTGAGCAGCATCAAGTGAAAAAGAACTGAAAGCACCAGTGATGGCCTGTTACAGCCACGACCAGCCCAAGGAATATCACTATTTTTAATTGGCTTCCTCCTTGCTTTGGTTCCCTTATGGTACACAAAGAAAACAGTTTTAAGAGCACACGTTGAAGGGCGTTTGAGTAAGTAATTCAGGAGAACCCCTGGACAGCATCTGGAAGACCTTCTCCAGATGACACAGGGAATCTCCCAGTGATCCCAAGTGATGGAAAGCGAGATGATGGCAAGAGGGACACCACTGCATCAAGACGAGGGCAGGCACAGCACCTCCTGCAGCTTCGGAAGAGAGTCACAAATTCTAATGGCCAAAAGGGATTTTGGGAATCTAAGCTCTCCGAAACAAGCCAGGATAAAAAATACCACACAGCAAGAGCTGCCTGGATGCTTATATAAAACCAAATGTTTGGATATGCATATCTTATCACCATTGCCATTTCTAAACAATAGAACTACAGGGAGCCTTCAGCCAGAACTAACTACACAATACCTGGGAGTGGAATCGGTTAGCCATTAACAAACTTTCCCAAACTGTTATTTACCCCATTATCGATGAAACTACTCATTAAAAATACACTTTTACCTGTGGTCTTTCATGTATTTTCACTAAGGCTATAACTCACAGGACTATACCCAAAAGAGATTTATCCACTGAATAGCAGACCCCTAGCTCAAACACGACCAGGAGAGCTAATGACCAAAAATACTCCCCTGGAACTTCCCAACACAGGGCTAAATATAAATCAGAGCCATTGAAAAAAGATGCACTGACTGCAATGACACCTTCTAATTTGGGGTCCATAAAGTAAAAGGAATTTTCAGGATCAGACATACCCAGCTCCAAAGCATGGAGTTTCCAAGACAACTGTGCATCCCAGTCCAGCTCCCGTTACTGTTTTTGCTTAGGAAAAGTTTCTCCCATGAGGTCTCTTCCCCCAGAAACCCTTCTTAAAGACTCACTGCTGCAATGCAAGGGACCCCTCCAAGGCAGGTTGCCTCCTATTAACCTTTCTGCATTATTTTCCAAGCCACTGGCACACAGGGAGGGAGCAGAGGAAGTTACACCCATTTGATTACTCCGTCCATCTGACAACACGTTATTCAGAGGAAGTCGAAGGATAAACACCACCAGACCTTCCTTTTTCCTGTCCGGTGTCGCTCGCCTTCCACTCCCATCAAGAAAACATTTTAAAATTTGCAGAAAAACAGGTTAACACCCAGCTTTGGGAACTGCCACGGGAATTCACAGGAGGATGTCAGGCTTTGAATTGACTCCACGATGAGCTAGATCGGTACCTTCTGGTACTTCCCAGATTAAGAGTAGACCTTTCAGGTTCCCAGTACTCTAGATTGTAGGTTTTCCTACCTGCATGTTTCACCAGCTACATCTGTTAACACCGGGGAGAAGCAAGTATTGCTCCCCAGTTTTGCACAAAACGACAGCAGCAATGGTGCTTGTGCAAGGCTCTCAGCTTACCAGGGGGTTACTATCCCGGGGATGCTATCAGCACCAAATCACAGCTAAAGGCCTCCATCAGATCTTGTTCTGCAATACCTGGAGCAGAGTAAAGGCAGGGCTTTGCACTTAATGGCTTTTTCCAGAGCACTGCGCTTCGTTTGTGTCAGATTTAGAAGGGAAATGTCACTGATTATTCAGTCACTAATGACCTGCCCGCCGAAGCCAAGAGCTGTACTTTTCATTAGACTGCAATGGTGATGTGCAGTCAACCATTTGCTGCTTTTCTGGCTAACGGTTGGAAGTGAAATTGTATTTGTTTCCAGTGCTCTTGTCCTATGGCGTCTTCGTAGGCTTTCCATTCTTTAATTAAAATTTCATGAAATTTAAAAGCTGATCGATCGTGACTGGTTTAGGTGACAGCTCAACGAGTCCGAGACAAAGCCCAAGATGGGTGTACAGTTTCCCACGAATTTCCAGTAATGCCATTTTGCAGTCGTCGGTCTGCAGTGACACATGGGTGCAGATCTGCTGTCCTCACAAAAACCCTCCGCCGCTCAGCCCGGGCGGGCTCTGAAAAGCCACAAAGGATGGCAGGGGATAAGGAAATTGGCTCCCATCTCTACAAGCAAGGTTGGACACAGAAGTGATTTGCTGCTAATTAGGCTGAACAAATTTTTCAGCGAGACCCTTTACTTACCTTTCAAAGCAGCAGCACTCCCTATCTACATATTTATTGTATTCCCTCCCAGCACGAGATAGCAGAGCTCCTAAAATATCCCCAGACTCAAGCCTTGCAGGACAAAAACTCCTAGCTATAACTATATTAAAAAAAAAAATTCAGCTTACTTTTTCTTGAGAGATAGTACATTGCTTCGGGCTTAAAATACACAGGTTTAAGAACATCAGTGTTAGGTGACGGTCCGCAGGACAGACCTGGGCCACCAAAATCCTCTCCATCAGGGACCTGCGGTGTTTGCAGCGCACACTGTGCATGCCCAGTGCCCTGCAAATAGCACATTTCATACCTCGCCATGCTCTGCGGGACGGAGGAGGCAGCGCTGGGCACAGCTGAGCCATCTGTCCATCCCGGAGCAGATCCGGGGGGGTGTATCCCTGGAGGGGGGACAGCCTGCGGCAGAAGGACAGCGGCTGTAGGAAGCATCCGGCTGAGCATCACGCACCACCGCCAGCTCCCCGCTCTGCTCCCTGCTCTCTCGCTCCGGCTGTGCCCAGCTGCGGCTGCCAAGCTCCGTTCTTCTGGGGGACCCTCCAGCTGAGATCCCTGTGCCGGCTCTGCCGAGCCACATCGTGAACCGCTGGTGAAGCAGCAGGCAGGGATGGTGTGAACTGGCTCCTCTCCCAGCAGCCGGGATGCAGTGGCGTGCAGGGATGTGCACACGCTGGTGGGGCTCCTGGGCTGCTCCCCAGGAGCCTTACGGGGTCTCTGTGGAGCTGATATGCAGCTTTCCAAAGGTTTTTGTCCATCCAAGACATCACCCATTTGATAAAAAGTATTCCTCTGTGATGGAGAATTCTGTGGCTTCGTTCTTGTTTAAGTGACCGTTCAGTGCAAACCACGTTTGCCAGCAGAGGTGAGGGCTGGGACATCTGCGTCCATCCTGATTATCCATTTTCAGTTTCTGAGTGAAAGCAAAATACCTAAGCTGATCCTAAAATAGCAGATAGGCACAAAATCAGACCAGTGCTGATAAAACCCCAACCTTGAAATCTGACATGGTCATCCACATATACATACACACACATACAGAGATACGTGTGTATATCTATATATGCAGCCTGGAATGTTGTAATTCTGCATTAGTCATTCAAATCACGCTCCAACCGCCTAGGGTGCCCACGGTGCATTTTAAACATGTCCATATTTCAGGACCAATTACTTTTGGGTTTGTTCTCCACAGATAACCTCTCCCAGCAGAACGGACCCATGGCCAAAGCCAGAGATTTTCCTCCAATTCAATCTTTTCAAAAGCAATTGCAAAGTCTTTGCAAGCTGGATTTGCCTCTCATTAGGAAGACTTTCAAGAGACTTTGTTTAGAAACTAAAAACAACCCCCAAACCTCTAAACTGTTTATAAAATCTTGGCTTGAAGAGCACAACTGCACCTTTTAACCAATCTGCTGCAAGAGTTCCCAGGGCCAAAACAGCCAAAATAAAGTGCAGCCCCCAGTTCACAATGCAAATGGAGTCAGAGCAGAACACTAAAGTACCTACAGAAAATTTCTCTGCAATGCCTATTCTCCTTGGTTTTCTTTAAAGCAACCCTTTAATTAATAACCGTTCCCCCTCCAGGACTTGTAAGGGCCTGGGAAGACTCCAGAGCACACAAACCAACCTCTCCCCATGCTACAGCATCTGTGTTATCCCAAAACGCTGCCGGTGGAGCACGGGGTACCAAGGTGGTGAGCCAGCCCAGCCCAGCTCGCCACTGTCCCCTTCCCAGCCAGGCGCCTGCGCTGCCCACGCCTGGCTCTGTCCCCAGCCATTCACAGGAGCTCTCAGAGTTAGATGATGATGAGGGATGGGTTTTTTTACATTCTGATGTTTAATGATTTATATAATGCTGGCACCGCTCCACACGTTACACTCTAGATCGCCCTGATTTGCATCACAACATTCATTAGGTGTTTTGCTAACAGAATTTCACCAGACCATTAAAAGGGATGTAAGGAGTTACCGTGCCATATCGGTGAATTAAATCCAGCTCCTGAGATGCAAAAAAAAGATAGTGCTGCTTCACACGGACATCTGATGGCTAGGGTAACACACAGGTGTTAGGAACTTTGCACACAGGGATGGGCAGTAACTCCCCAATAAACATCTTATACAATTAAAAGCAAAATATTGCCCTTTGCTTATTTGGCTGTAGAAGGAAGAGGTGAACTTTAAAACACAACCCTAAAGCATCCCCCCAGAAACCACAGGGAAGTGACACTGCTGGGGTGCCTGAAGCCACAGGTAAACTGTGACAGTAAAAATATTGTCTTAAGTAGCAGAAAGAAAAAGAGAGGACAGTTCAGCATCCAAAATACCTCCCCGAAAGTCACTGTCCTTGCCAGGCAGGATGAAGATT